CTTAAGGTCCTCAGCGAGACGGGCCCCTGTGCGTGGACACAGCTCGCGATGTAGGGTCTCTTTCTGTAGCGTCTGGAAGAATCCGAATCATCCCTCGTTGTGCTGCATTTTAAAAAAAAAAGCAAAAAAAGAGGCTTTTTTTCCTTTTTTGCAGAAGGGCTGAGGACACTGGGTTGTAAATAAAGGCTCAACTGAGCGTGAGTCTCCCCTCTCAAAATACAAATCCTTTTTTGGGTAGCACAAATAGAAACTGCTCTTCGGGATATATATATATATATTTTGCACATAATAAACGCTGTACACATTTTAAGACGTGCAAATCTTTTACATACATGCACATACAGCATACCAAAGTGCTAATTTTAGGGACTGGCCCATAAGTTATCAAGGAAACCCATACAATCTTGGTTACCATTTGAAGACAGATTCTGTTTTTGATTCTCTTTTTAACAAAGCCTAACATATAAAACCAGTAAGAATCTAATTTCCTAATTTTATATAGCAACAGAGTTAAGTACAGCTGCGGAAGATGGATTTGGTAGTCACGCATGGGAAACGATAAGTATTCTAAAATTAGCTCATTTTAAAGGCTCCATCTGCCTTTTCTTCTTATGATAGCTCTTTCTAAGGTCACTTTCAACTAAAACCGCTATACAGTTCTATTTTTACTCCGGATTCTCGGGTCTTCTCCCACAGCACACGGGTCGCTCTCCTCCAGAGGAGAAACTTGAAGGGTAAACTAGTCAGCACTGCTCACATCCAGGCAGCATAAATGAGCAGTCACACTAGGTAAGGAATTACCTGCAGGCATTAATTTTTTCCCCTAACTGGATTTTAAAAATGGCTTGAGAGGCGCACACCCCAAATTAAGATTAATTCTATTGATGGTATGAGTGAGTCAGAGTTAAACCCGTTCTTTTTTTAGTTTCTGAAATCGGTCGCAACTGGTAATAGATTATGGCACTAAAGAGCAAGCCGTCTTGAACTGTATCCCTTTTGTCTCCCTTGAACCTTGCCTGAGAAGGAATCAGATGGGTTTTTTTTTAATCTTTTTTTTAAAGATTTTATTTATTATGTATACAGTCTTCTGCCCGCATGCCAGCAGAGGGTACCAAATCTTATTCAAGGTGGTTGTGAGCCACCATGTGGTTGCTGGGAATTGAACTCAGGACCTCTGGAAGAGCAGTCAGTGCTTTTAACCGCTAAGCCATCTCTCCAGCCCCCAGATGGGTTTTTTATAGACAATAAATTGCTTAGACTAAATATTTAGGAAAAATCACATAGACTATCCTTTTAAGATTACTTTTCGTGTTTTATGTTTTTAATGTTTGGGAATAAAAGTGTCAGGATCCAACAAAAATACAGAATTTGTTAGAAAATCCAGTTTAGGGGAAATCAGGTTAATGCATGCAAGCAGGTGACTGCCAATTTATACAGCCTGGGTTGTCAAACTGCCAATTATTTAAATAAATGATTTATTTTACAGTAAATACTTTTGGATTTACAGAAATATTTCAGAGTGTTGTATATTCTACACTTAGATTCCCCTATCATTAGCATCATTTTTCTATATGGTATCTTTCTCATATCTAATGAATCAATACAATATCAGTAGCTAAAACCCATATGTTTTGCTTGAGTTACTTTCACACAGTTGTGAACACAGTACCAGAAAGAAAAAAAGATTTATTTTCGCTCATGGTTTCAGAGGGTTTCAGTTCATCTCAGCAGAGAAGGCAGGGTCACCACATCCTGACGATGGCAGCAGCTGTTCATTTCATATGAACTAGGAAGCAGGACTGCAGGAATGAGGGGCTGGTCTAACACCCAAAGATCTACACTGAATGCCCTGCTTTTATGAGTTGGGTCTCAATTCCTAAATGCTTCCCAAAATGGCCAGACCAGCTGGGGAGTGCTTCAAAGTGCGAACCTGTGGGGACGTTTCCAGCTGATATTCACATTGAAGTTCATATTCAAATTTCTTCTAAGATCCTCTTCCTGCTCCAGGGTGCCACAGTAATTTAGACACCCGGTCTCCTTGAGTTCCTCTTGGCACTAAGGTAGATCCTCATCTTCTCCAACATTTGTTTTGTTGTTGTTGTTGTTGTTGTTGTTGTTGTTTTTGGGGGGGTTGGTTGTTTTGTTTTTGGAGATAGGTTTCTCTGTGTAGCCTGGCTGTCCTAGAACTCACTCTGTAGACCAGGCTGGGCTCAAAGTCACAGAGATCCACCTGCCTCTGCCTCCTGAGTGCTGGCATTAAAGGTGTGCGCCATCACTGCCCGACCTCTCCAACAATTTTTAATATAGGTTGTTAGTATTCACTGTTTATCTGAAATTGAGGTTGTACAGCCTTGTGCATTTTATCTGGCAACTATAACCTTGACTAGTATGTTGACTATAGTATGTTGACTATAACCTTTTTTTATGACTGGTTCTAATTTGGTAATCTAGACTGGCCTCAAATTCTTCATCCTCTTGCCTCAGACTTTGAATATTAGTATTACAGGCATTCAGAGGCTCAGGGGTCACCATTCTAATAGCCTGCTAATGGGGTTATAAATTAATAGAGTATTTCTTAGGGTCAACTGGCAATATTCAAAGCTTATTAAGATGGAAGAGCCTCAGAATCAACAGTTCTACTGCTACTAATTTATTATATATTAGACATTCCTAATGATTCTTGGCTCGTAGAAGATTTATTTTATTTCCTTTTCGTTTGGTAAAGGCCGGCCTGGAAAACACGATGTAACTCAAGATTCTCCGTCCTCCTACTCCCAAATACTAGGATTACAGGCCTATGCCTCTATTTCTGGCTGGTTCCTGATAATTTTAGTTTCCTCCTTTCACAAGATTCCTAGGTGAAAAGAAACAATGTATAAAATATTATTTTTAAAAGTCGCCAAGTGTGGTAACCTACACCTTAAATCCCAGCACTGGGAAGGCAGGGGCAGGCAGATCACTGAGAGTTCCAGGCCAGCCTGGTCTATAGAGCAAGTTCCAAGATAGCCAGGGATACAGAGAAACCATGGGGGGGGGGGCGCTCGGGAAGCAAAAGGAAGAAGAAACAATGTATTACATAGTCTCTATGACTTAACTTGGTAGCTATATGAAATAGTAATTCATATACATTTCATTATTAATTTGTGTGATTGTGTTCAGACAGAGTTCCCCTGGAGGTCAGAGGGTGGAGCTAGCCACTAGTTAACCATAGAGATCTAGAGGTCTGTACAGACAGAAGACAGGAAGTGATAAGGCTGGGTGTAGACAGGATCTTGGCCCTTTCCTTCTGAGGATTAGTAGATGTAAGAAGTCTCTGGTGATTGCTACTCTGCTTCTCTGATATTTCAGCTTTTACCCTGATATCTGACTCTTGATTTTTTTTTTATTGATAACACTAATTAGGATCACACTCCATCAAGTGAATATAATTCTTTCTTAGTAAGACATTCATGTACACTTCTTAACCTACACAGAGGACTCCAGTCGGTTTCCAGCACCCACTTGGCCTATCACAACCATTTGTAACTCCAT